CCCCAAAACCCCAAAACCCCAAAACCCCAAAACCCCATGTTGAGGATATTGTATTGAAATCCTTCGTTTTTATGAAAAGATGAGATTAGATGAAAATGGGGGTTAAACAGCTTGGGCTCTTTCAATGTTTTCTTTTACAGTGGTATCTGGGCCAATCGGTGTGTACATAGCTGCAATTCCAGAGTTGTATCAAACTTGAGAATTTGGCTGAACCGTATTTTGAATATTTTGAGTATCAGGTGCTACTCCCATTTGCATTCCTGCATTAGGATCCATTGGCAAGGGCTCCATAACCACCATTTGTGGAGCCTAAGAGAAATACATTTGGGGTTGTGGATTCGCTGGATTTGGATTAGCGTAGGGGTAGTTTTGGTCAGCATTAAGGTTCATATTCGGAAGCTGTCCATTTATCTCAATCACGACTGCAGCATTCTCAGCAATTTCTTCACCTATTCCAGGCACCTTCTTAGGATCCCATGATGGTATATGTGACAAAATCATAGCAGTAAAATAAAGGCTTGGAAATATCATTGCTTAACCAAAGATCAAAATTAAAACTGCTGTTGGAATACTTCCATACAACGGTCAATCAAACCTATCCTCACAGTCATTATTTTTAGATCTAATAATAAGGATCATCAAGGTCAATACATTAGCAAATCCAACCGCTCCAATAACAACTCCAGCTATAAATTTACCTCCTTTTGGTGCAATAAACATCCCATAAGTAATCATAGCAACAAAGAGGTACAAAATATCAATGACATAGCAACAAATCCCAATGGCTCCTCCATTACCTGAGAAAGCAATCGTAGAAGCTAACATAAAGTTAGGTAAATAGACCAATAAAGAATTACGAGGCAGCAGCCAAAGTACTGCCATTTCTTAGCAATAGGGTACTGGCTTCTTGAAATATTCAGCATTAATGTATGCCCAAGAATGAAGAATTGTAGTGACTCAGTGGATTGGCTACCATTGGTGTAGCTTGAGGTATAACTGCATAAGACATTGAGCCCAGTTTGCTAATCCTCTCCTTCCATTAGTCTTTCCAATCTGTCATCCTTTAATTCCTCCCAATTATTCTCAACCTACACTTACTCTTATTTACCTCCCTTACTAAATATGAGCAAGTCTCTAGGTATGTCTCTCGGCCCCCTCAATCTTTCAGTATTGGATCTCAGACTGTATCACCCCCCACTCAGTCCATCTCCCAAAACAACACTGGTACCAAACGTATATAATCTAAACACATGAACTCCCATCTTACACATCAACTAACCTCTTTAGCTCCCCCATAAGAGTTTCTAGAGCTTTCATACCCGTCAGACTCCTTATAAAAATGCTGGAAGTGGCCACCTGTCCTGAGGAAGTTAACTTACCGAAACTGGTCTTTAGAGTTGGCAGGATTCAAGTTAAGCTTGGGTGGGAGTGTAGTCTACAAGAAGATTTAGTGGTGGCTTGGAAGTAAGGATTAGGAGAGTGGAATTGGAATAGGTGGTTAGGGAATTTTAGTATGGGGGGCTGGATTTGGGGGAAATTTACGTTTAGGTTTAGTTCTTTGGTGGGATTTTAGGGGTATAATAGCAATGGTGCTATTGATCTTCTTCAATTCGTTTAAATAAGGGGGTTTAGGATTAAATATATTTAATAAAATCAACCTGGATGAAATGCTTAGGGGTTTTGGGGTTTTGGGGTTTTGGGG